GGTTCCATCCGGGTGAATATGGACAAGCAATAGATCTACTAAAGCAAAATTTTGAAAATAAAGATAAAAGAATAAGGAAGCTGCAACAGCAGTTATTGACCCTTCCAAATTGCAATACTTTGGAAGAGGTTAGGAAATTTTACCTGAACTTGGAACGAATCTGCCGTCAGTTAGCTGGTCTCGGGAATGATACAGACTCTGACCATTATTACAACTTGTTGGAGACTAAACTCACACGTCCGATGCTTAGAGAAATTTTATGCGTTAAAAAGAAGGCGGGAGATAGTTGGACCACAGGTAAATTCAGACTTGAGCTAAAGAAACTACTCGAATCTGAATTGGAACTCTCGTCAATATTAAAAAAGACGGGAGAAGAAAAAAGGCAAAGCCCTAGGAAAAAGGAAGAATCGCACTCTCCGACAATCGCTTGTTCGACTGTTGGAAAGACGAATCGATTCGAAGTAGACAAAGAGAAAAAATTTAATAGGAACTTACTTTGCTACTTTTGCCAACAAAATCATTGGTCAAACGAATGCCGAAAATTTTCTAACCTCCAGGCGCGAAAAGAACGCTTGAAGGAAGTAAACCGTTGTATTCGCTGCTGTAGGCAAGGTCACGATGCGGCGCAATGTGAAAAACCAGCTAAATGTTTGGGATGTTCGGGGGCACATCCTTTAGCGTTATGCCCAAAATTGAAAATCCCGCAGCAGCCGAAATTTAGACAAATGGCTACTGAGGAAAAACAAAGGACTTTCCAGAAAAAATGGAATTCTGGAAAACCAACGACTGGCTCAAATTCTGTGGCAATCGGAACCACTTCGAATGAAATTAATGCCACACTAGCCTCTGCGCCGAAAAAACAATTTAAATGCTTTAAATATTGTTTATTAAAATGCGCGCAAGTGAAAATGTTTAACCCTACCTTCACGAAGAAAAAGGTATCCGGGACAGTTTTTATTGATTCTGGAAGCCAAAGAAGTATGATTTCTGAAAGACTAACAAAGGAATTACAACTCAAACCTTATTCGTTTGAAAAGCTAAAAGTAAGGGGAATAGGTCCACCAAACATTGCCAATTCGTATTCTTCGAATATGGTAAAAATAGGAATTGAAACAAGCGAAGGACCAATGCAACTGGAATTGTTAGTCGTCCCTAGCGAACACTTACCTCCAATGGTTACTGTTCAAATTAACGACCAAGAAGAGGCTATATTGGAAACAAAACCATTGGAGGCTAAGCATAGAATTGAAATCCCTGATATATTAATCGGGGCAAAATATTTAAACGAATTGGAAATAATGAAAATTAGGAAACTTCCAAGTGGCTTTTGGCTTTCAGAATCAATATTAGGTCCGATGCTAGATAGTGAAGGGTTAATAAACACTTCGGCAATTGTTTCGCATTTGCCGGAGCTAAACTCTACAATTACTGAAGAGGAATCCTTAGTAGAAAAAGTAAAGCAATTTTACCAGCAAGATTCGCTTTACTTAGAGTCCGACGAACAAAGCGCAGAAGAAATAGACAAGGCGGTTCATGAACATTTCAAAGAATCGCTAAAATTTGATGAGAAGGAGAAAAGATACGAAATTTCTCTTCCTTTTAAATATTCGGAGTTGGAAAAATTGCCAACAAATTATGCGCTAGCAAGAGGCCGATTAAACTCTACCTTAAAGAAATTAAGGGAAAATCCGGTTTTAATGGAGAAATACCATCAGACAATGGTCCAACAGCATTACGATGGTATAATAGAGGTAGCCCCACGACAAGCAGATGGACCAATACATTATTTGCCTCACCAATATGTTTGGAGAGAGGACAAACAAAAGTTGCGAGTAGTATTTGATGCTAGTTCGCACTTAGGGAAAAGCTACTGTCTAAATGATGTAATGCATCCAGGTCCACTTCTTTTAAAAGATTTAGCAGGAATTTTGATTAGATTTCGATTACCAATGATTGCAATATCCGCGGACATACAGGTGGCATTTCTGCAATTAAAAGTGGCGAAGGAACACAGAGACGTAACCCGTTTCTTGTGGCCTATTGATCCATACGATTTGGAAAGCCCGGTCAAAGCGTTACGTTTTGTACGACTTACCTTTGGATTAAACTGTAGTCCCTTTATATTAGCAGCAACCTTACTAGAACACTTGGCAAAAAGCAAAAGTTATGTAAAGAAGCTTATTGAAGAGAATTTATACGTCGATAACGTTATTCTCTCTGCGGATAATTGGGAAGAAACATTACCTATTTGCCGCGAAGCCAAAAAAGTATTTGAATCTGGCGGGTTCAAATTACATGAATTTGCTAGTAATCATATCGCTGCGATGAAAAAGCTCCCGCCAGATGATAAAGTAACAGGACTTTACTCTGGACAAAGAATAAAAATTCTAGGGATAGAATGGGACACTTATAAAGATTCATTGAATATTAAACTTCCAAATATTATAGAAAAGGAAGAAAACTCGTTAACAAGAAGAAAAGTATTGTCCACATTGGCATCAATATTTGACCCGTTGGGAATAATAAGTCCGGCAATCCTTGAAGGTAAACTCTTCCTACAGGCACTCTGGGAGGACAAGGACACCGAAGAAAAAATTCCTAGAGAAAAAATGTGGGACAAACCAATACCTGTTGAAAAGGCAAAGCAGTGGCAGAAAATTTGCAAAAATTGGAATGGAGCAAATCTATCGATACCCCGCCGGGTGTTTTCATTCGAGCGGGGAAAAACAAAATTTGAATTGCACGCGTTTGCCGACGCGAGTAATATTGGACTTGGAATAACAATATATCTTAGAGGTACCAGCGAAGCAAATGCAAAAACCTCATTAATTTTTGCAAGAAGTAAGGTTATTCCAAAACAGCCAAAAAAGAGGAGCATCCCTCGATTGGAGCTCCAGGCAATGTTCTTGACAACAAAAATTACAAAAAAGATAAAAGAAGAATTATCCTTACCTTTAGACAAAATCCAACTCTGGACGGACAGTGAAAACTTATTAAAATGGTTGTGCGGGAAAGAAAAACAAAAAGACTGTTTTATTAACCGCCGGTTGGAAATTATTTCTGAATGGAATGTAAACTATGTCCCAACAAAGGAAAACCCTGCTGACATTGCAAGCCGGGGTATAAAAGTAGAAGAATTAATAAATTCGGAACTGTGGTTAAATGGTCCTCCCTGGCTTAATACTAAAATTGAGGAGGAAAATTGGCCATCTACCTCAACTTATAATTATATAGCAGGAGTGGAGAAAAAAGAAAAAGGAAAGATTTTCCATTCAATCCAAGCAGCGAACATTAAAGAAGAAAAAGAGGAAGAGCCGATAGAACTCTTTAGAGCTATTGGTATTTCTTCTACTGAAGCTTTGCTTAAAAATGGCGTTAGATATAAATCTGTTTGGCGAAAAATAAAAGGAACAGCTGCATTCGTTGCGCGATTTTTAGTCAAAATTTTGTCAAAAGAAGCCAAACACCCATTCATTAATGAATGGAGAGAAATTGTTAAAGAAGGACCTCTCACGACAGAAGAGCTTTCTTTAGGTGAAAAAATAATAATACGCTCTACACAAAGAAATCTTTCCGAGAATGGTCTTAATACTATTCCCGGAAAATTATTCGAAGATGAAGACCGTATATTAAAATCAGGAGGTAGAATGGAACACAGTGAAATGTCTGAAGCTGCTAAATGGCCTATCTTTATTCCGAAGCATTCTAAATTGGCTGAATTAATTTTGGAAGATAGCCACCTGGAAACTTTTCATGGGGGTACAAATACAATGACAGCTTGGGTGAGACAAAAATTTTGGATCCCACAGATAAGACAGGCGGCCAATAGAGTTAAAAGAAGGTGCAATAAATGTAAAATTTTTAAAGTGAAACAATTCAAAGTACCAGCCCCGCCGCCTTTGCCGTCAAGTCGAGTGGTAAAAACTTCCCCGTGGGCAAACATTGGAGTACACTATACTGGTCCATTTACAGTATATGAAAAGGGAGAAGAAAATAAAAGATATATTTGTCTTTTTAATTGTTTAACTACTCGTGCAGTCCACATGGAAGTTGCGACAGACGCGTCTGCGGCAGCTTTTTTAAAAGCTTTCCGTAGATTTTGCGCGCTTTGCAGAATCCCAAAACTAATCATTAGTGACAATGGGACAAATTTTACGGCCTCAGCAAAAGTATTAGGAGATATTTGGAAGAGAATTGCGCTGGATGATTCAATCCAAGCGCATGCAGCAACAAAAGAAATCTCCTGGCAATTTATTACTGAAAGGGCACCCTGGAGAAATGGATTTACAGAAATTTTCAATAAATCCATAAAGAAAGCACTGAGAACAACCTTTGGTCGTATTAGGTTGTCTCAAGAAGAATTTACTACAATTCTTTATGAATTGTCAGCAATTTTAAATGAAAGACCTCTCACCTATACGTCCAATGAGATAGGTGAAGAAATCCTGACCCCTTCGAGGCTAATCAAATTAGATTTGGAAAGTAGTTGTGTTTGGCCAAAAATGGAAAAATCTGATCCAAATGATCCAGAATACCTTCCAAAAAGAGAATTAAAAGACATTCTAAGGGAAGGACATGAAAAGTCCATTCAAAAATTGGACAAATTTTGGTCAATATGGCACACACACTACCTTGCGGGGTTAAGAGAAAGGCAAGAAAAAGCTGAGAAAAATGGATCTAGCGTCGCGCCGTGTGTGGGGAGGGTCGTCCTCATTGAGGACGAAATGACGCCCCGGAGCTCTTGGCGAATGGGCCGAATTGAGAAATTATATAAAGGCGAAGGTGGAGTACGCACGGCCAGGCTGAAAGTTACTGGGACCGATAAATTATGGAAACGGGCCCTCAACCAACTATACCCTCTCGAAATAGAAGGGGAGGAATTAGGAATGACAGATTGTGTGGGAAGTTTCACCTGGGTTCAAATTTTTGGCCCGGGTTTTCTCAAAAATGAAAATAATATTTTATCACTTAATGAAATAAATTCTTCTTTTATTCAGGAAATGGACGAGGATCTGGAGTTGGATTATGATGAAATTATGCCTGAGGAGCCATCGAAAAAAGAAGAGTCAAAACAGGTTCAGTCCAAAAATGAAGACAAATGGAAGGGGTATAAAATCAGAAAATTTCCTGAATTTCAGAACCGACCTGAGCTACACTATGAAAATGGAAAATTACGATCTGTAATTGCGAAAGTCCCAGCTCACCCAACCGTCAGAAATGAACGCCGTAGGCAAATTTCACCAACCCGTAACCGTGGCAGCTATCTTAAAAATGAAGAAAATAAAAGAAGGCCACCAGTAAATGAGCGGGAGGTGAGTAAGAAGAAAAAACCGACGGTTCCTCGTTTCGAGGAATTGCCGCAAGAAGAGCCAGAGCCGCCACCCCAACAAGTGAAAATAAAAAGAAGAGGCCCGAAAGAAACGATAGAAGTGCTTAAAGGATGGGGGCTATTGGAAGAATGTTTGCCTGGTCGAGGGGAGCATAGAGATTGTCGGTTATTGAATTTGGAGGCTTTGATAGGTAATTGTGGAGGGGCTTATGAGAAGATAGCACCGCGATCAAACTCCCATCACTACCGTACTCTTCTCCAAACTTTTGTGGTAGAATGGACCTTTCGAAGTTTCCATGGATCGGCTCAGTCAGAGAAGGAAAGGGTGGACGCTGCTAGGGATTTAATGATAAGGGTGTTAGAAAAGCCGGCCGAAGCACTTTTGGCTTGGGAAGAAGCACTACCCATACTTAAGCCACAATCAAAAGAAGCAAACGATTGGCCACTGGCAACGCTGAAACGCCTGATGGAAATAAGGAAGAGCCACTGTCAATTAGCTTTGCGCAACCTTACACTAGAGCCCAACAAAGCGATTAATGTAGTAAAAGAAGAAGAGTGGGCCAGGGCGAGTACAAAGGAAGGGCAGTCGGCTGCTGGACTTTTGTCCCAGCGGTGGGCGCGCGTTTTAACCGAAATGAAGGCTGAAGAAGTTTATGGAAAAGAAGTAAAAGTTATGCACACACCAACTTTAATAATTGGCGACAAATTGGGTGTGGATTTTGGCACTCAAATGATGAAGTTGTTTGCGTCCGGACCACATTCTCCTCATCAATTAGCCACGTTGGTCCCAAACAAAATTTATGTGGGGAACGAGGTGAATAGTGTAGTGGTTTTAATGGGCCGGGACTACATTAAAGAGGTTAACGGGCCACCAGAAGAAGTTAAGAAGGCTCTTAGAGAACTGTTAAGAAGTTTAAGGGGGCTAGTGAAGAAGATAGTGATAGTGGCACCCCCATTGGTACAGACGAAAAAAGTAGAATTTGAAAGACTCTACTCAATGATGTCGGAAGTGTGCAAGGAAACTTCCGGTGTTGAGTTTCTCAAAACTGGATTTTCTAAATATGAAGGATGCCCGTTGCTTACAACAAGTGCTGGGGAACTTACAGAGGCTGGAACTGAACATTTAAAAGAAGAGCTCATAAAAAAAAGGGGTAGAAATTGAGAAGAGGGAGAAGAAGGCATTTTGCCCAAAGAAAAGGGAAGTCCCACAGGAAGACAACAACAAGCCTGGGACTTCTGGAAGCGGTCGGACGAGAGGGGCCCCAAGAGTCTTCGTCACCCGGGGAAGCTTTTTGGCCTTCCTGGTAGTTTTGGCGCTGGCAACAACAATAGGTGTTTCGGCAACTCCACCAGAAATTGAGGCAAGTGGAGGAACGGGAGTAAATTGGGCAGGGGTTTTTTGCCTTCTGGCCACATTATTCTTTATTTTTCAGTCGAACGCTAGCAGCTCTGTTTCAGCAATATGGGGGTGTTATGGCTTGATTGGAGTAACACAGGCAATGAACTTGGATGCGTATTGGTGCCGATTTGGCGAATCGCAACTATGGGACTTGTCAAAAAAGGTCAGCTGCTTAGATATAAAGTCCCCGGAAATAAAGACAGCACCCCTGGCAATAAATATTTACGAAAAAATCGAATCACCGTTAGTCTTTGGGGCTTACTGGTGTGAGATAAGACGGGACATTACCACCTACTATTCAAATTGGCTGGGTGATATCTTCCCTAAACACGAAACCGAATGGTGGGAGCTCGAAGGCGAGGAATGCCTTTTAATGGGTAGGAAGAAAAAATGCCCATTCGGGGTAATGATAGATTCGGGAGCTGGAGGCTATATGACAAAAAATGCCTTGGAGATGAAGAAGCCCGGATTTTTCGAAAGGGTGTTAAATACAGAGCTCCAGGCTAATGTTTCCAATTGTTACGTGCATAACGCGACTATTTTGGTGGACCGAGAAACCTGGGAAGTCACCATACCTGGAGGGGTAAGAAAAGGAAGTTGCTTTCTCAAAAATGGAAGCTGCCCTCTAATAAATTCTATTGTGACCTGGGAAGAAATGTTGCCTGTGGATAGATGTAAATTTGGGCTCATTAAATCGAATTGGGCCGGGGAAGTTGAGTTGGAACATCGAATTTGGTCTACCCCCACCCAGGACTTTGTTCTGAGCTGGAAAGAGCCGAAACGTATTATAGATTGTGGGATTAGAGCTCTTGTCGTTTCAGACCAAGGGCTAGCGATAACTGAGGTACAGTACAAACAATTAATGGAAATTGGAACTAGGAATAGGAGGGGACTCATTTCCGGAGCGATAATGGCGGGAGCAGACACGGCTGGATCTTTCGGAGCCATTCGTGCGCTCAACCGTACCCTTGCGGCGATAGCCAAAGAGAACTGCCTCCAAAAGTCCCGAAGGATGGCCGAGCTCACAAGAAAGTTTGCAAAGAACCCAGAGGGAGCAGCTTTCATTTTACTGAATCGAACAGTACAAGCCAGATGGGCTGCTGATGGATTACTACAGACATGGGAGTGTGTACCTATACCAATGGGAGAGATTAAGTTGTCGCGGAAAAGGGCAAGTCCGCGAATAGTAAAAAATTAAGCCTAGTAAAAACTCAAAAAAAAAAGAAGGGCCTAGTAAAACTCACACAATTTTTCAAGCAAAAACAAATTGAAATTTTATTTAAAGCAATTAAAATTTTCCAACAAAAATGTGTTTAATCCAAAGCAGTAAAAAAAATCAGTTTTTAGCAAAAAGGTTGAAAAGCAAAAATTTTTGTAAAGTCCAGAGCAAAAATGTAGAATATTTTTTTAGAATGAAGAAAAACAGAAAGGATAGAGCAGATATAAAAAAAAGGGTTGGACAACAAAAAATAAAAAAGGCACAAAGAACGACCAATCAAACAAAAGCGGTTAAAAAATACATTTTAATTTAAGTAAATGCAGGTGTCGATGGAAAAAACAGGGGAAATTAAAAAAATAAATTAAAAGGAATTTTTTAGGAAAACATTCGTGAAACGACATTCCCCAGCAACAGGAACATTCAATTTCTTTTATTCCAAAAATATTGTGTTGGTGCCAGTGGGTTAAATTGGTAGGGCAACTGAGCAAATTGAAAATTTTGTTGTGGCATGTTGGGATAGGGTTGAGAGAAGCGGTGGAGGTTAAGTGGACGTGGCACGTGAAGAGACATTAGAGGTCGGGGACGGATACCACCAGCCAAAAGTTGATTTGAAGAACCAGCACCATCATATGAATTAAAAAACATGGGGTTTTTTGTGGAAAAAACGTCATTACCTCTCTTTATCAAAACAGCTTTAGCTAACGGCAAGTTATTGAGTAGGTGCTTTTTTGTGTAGACATTATTTGGAACCGTTGTTTTTTCATTTGTATTAGTGGCTGGGGGAGTTATTGTATTTGAGGGTGGGTAAATTCTTGGTCGTTTGTTGTTTGGTTCAATACAGTCGTTGTTGTTGGGTTTGCTGGGTTCAGTAGAAACAATTTTAATGGATTTAGGTTCGGGGATGGGGTTTGGGCTTGGTGGCTCACTAATTGTTGTTTCAATGGAAAGAGCAGGTGAGGGGGGAGTTTTTGGTCGTTCCATTTGTATTTTGGCTGGTGGTGTCTTCGGTTTTGGTTGTTGCTGTAATTTAAGGTGTTGGAATATAATTTCAAGAGAGGATTTTTTGTCCTTGGGCATAAGGCTGTTAAAAAAAATTAAATTAAAAAATTTTAAATTTATTTAAATTATTGGGGCGTATTGTTAACTTGAGAGGCTAATTGCCTTAAAATTTTTAGTTCGCTTTCATTCAAATTTTTAATTTTGTTTAGGGGCGGTTCAGAGCGATTGCGTGATGTGAATGTTTTGTAAGCAAAAAGGGTTATTGCTGCGAGAAGGGTTATTATAAGGAGGGTGATTGCTGCTAGGATTAGTGAGCTTAGATCAGGGTTATCGAGTAAGTATGCAGCAAGGTAGTCAAGACCCAAATAAGCAGCAGAGGAGGCTAAAAGGCTGGCAGAAGCTTTCCCGGTCCATTTTACTGTTTTGCGCAATTTAGAATTACGTTTGGTATTGCTAGCTTCTATTGTTGGGGAGCAAATTAAAAAAATTAAAATTAAAGCCATTAATGTAGGTGGAGGAATCCAGGCATTTCGTTGGGGTTTCTTGCAATTTCGGTTTATTTTATAGATTATAAGGGCGCTCGAGCAAATTAAGGCAAAAATAAGTAGGCCTATTATTATGTATAAGTGGTGATTGGATTCTTGTGTGTTAAGAGTTATAAGGAAATCGGCAGAAAAAATCTCAAGGGAAATAATAGATCCCATTGCGATGAATTTGAAGAAAGTTGTTTAGTTTAAATTAAAATGAAGCAGCAAAAAGCTAAAAATGAAGAATGATTAGTTTAATTTATAGTAAAATTTTTATGGTTAGTAGGCAGGTGGGAATTCCAATCTGTTTACATTTATTTACAAAAAAGGGGAAATATTTACAATTTATTTATTTCATTTAAAGTTTATTTTAAGCTTATCTGCTTTATACAAAAAGTGCTGGGTTTTTGCTCTCTTTTGTATTAGCCGCTGGTTCACACACATTTGTATTAGCTGCTGTATTACACATTCTTTCTTCACTTTCCTTTTGTGTTTCGAGGGGGCAAAGATGGCCGATTGATCTTTCGAACACTCGACCCTTACCCGATGGGGAAACGATTCGTACTTTGGCCTTGTCTGGTTGGCCGAGTGTATTATTTGAAATTTGCAAAATTATGCCTGTTACCCATCTTGATTGTGGAAGGAAATCTTCAGAGATAAGAACCAGATCTCCAATTAGCGGAGACCTTTGATTTTTGGGGGAAATTTTTTGGTATCTTTCACGTAATGATGTAAGATAGTCTTCTTTCCAATATTTCCAGAATGATTTTGATGCGGCGCTAAGTTTGGACCACAAATTAAGCAAGTGTGATGGGTCACTGGGGGGCATGGGATTGTAAGTAGGATCTTCCAGTGCGTCGGTATTTGGAAATGGTAAAGGTTTAATTTCTCTTAATGGCTGCAAAAAATTGATTGGGCAAAGTGGCCGAGGATCTGCTGGGTTTGAGGAATCGAAGGTAATTGGCCTGCTATTTATAATTGTGGTTATTTCGATTAAGCAAGTGCGCACTGAGTTTAGCGAATTGATTTTTGGGTAAATGCCTTTTGAGAGTGTCCGTTTTAGGTGATGCTTGATTATTGCCATAATTCTTTCATAAAAACCACCTTTCCAAGCTGCCATTGGACATCGAAATTTAAATTTTATTGCGCTAAATTTAGGGTTAGATTTAGCCGCATGCAGATTTAATACCTTCTTTGTATGATTAAAGGTCGGGGCGTTATCGCAAAATATTGTTTTTGGATCGTAATTGGCTAAAAATCGCCTCAAGCTCTCAAAAAATGACTGTGTTGTTAGGTCAGGATCTATGTCTAGAACGATTGCGCGAGTAACTAGGCAAACAAAGACCGCTATCCAAATTTTTGTCTGTTCGCTTTTCTTTTTATTTCGCCTAGCATTGGCACTTTTGGCTGAGAATTCTGAGCAGGTATGGACGTATATCGGCCCACAAAAATCTAGTCCAACGAAGGTAAAGGGAGGGGCAGGATTTACTCGTTCAGCGGGGAGTGGGGGAAAATTAGGTAAATCGAATGGTTTGGCAGTATATCGGCGGCAGGTAAAGCAATTATTGTGTAATATGTGGGTTACTGTACGCCGTCCGCTTGGGATCCAATAATTTCTTCGGATGAGTGCCAGCGTCTGTAAGGGACTAGTATGTTGCCCTAGTAGGTGAGTTTCGCAAACAATGAGCTTAGTCAATTCAGAATGTGGTGGCAAATAAATAGGGAATTTAGTTGAATTGGGCAAGCAACTATTGGACATTCTTCCTTTACAACGTAATAATAGGTCATTTCCTTTAAATATGCCGAGAGATGAGTAGGCACTGTCGTCAGGTGGCATTCGCTTTTGCTCTAGTTTTAGGAGAATGGAAAGCGAAGCGTTTATTTCTTTTGGGCCGATTGCTCGGGAGGAGGATCGGAACACATCGCTATTTGCATAAAGGGTTAGCGGAGTATTTTTTATCTTGGCAATAAATCGCAAGGCATATGTTGTAATTCGCAATAGGTGTGGGAGGCGAGAGAACCGAAAAATTGGGAAAACAGATTCTTCTATAGTAATCGCATTGGAAAATGAGTAAATCTCTAAAGGAGCTATTGGGGGTAATTTTTCAATTTTATTTTTAAATATTTCAGATGAAAATTTTTTAACTTGCGGGTGTTCTGGCCAATCCGAAGAAGTTAACCAGCTTGGGCCGTACCACCACAAACTGTTGTTTTGAAAAGCATTGATGTCCATTTCGCCCCTTGTCGCTAGGTCCGCGGGGTTTTCCTTTCCAATTACATGTTGGACAATTAAATTATTAGTGGATCGTATCTCAGTAATTCGGTTGTTGACAAAAATGTCGTTAATTGTTTCAGTATTATTTAGCCAATTAATTACTGTTGAAGAGTCAGTCCAAAGAAAATAATTCTCTTCAAGTTTAATAGAGGGGGAGAGGTGTTTTTGGACGAAATTGAGGGCCCGAGTTGCAATTAGTGTTCCCAACAATTCTAGTCGGGGAATAGTGTATGGGGAATTTTTAGCTTTAGCCTTTGGTTTTACTTTAATTTTCGAGAAAAGCAGCGAGGTTTCTACCTCGTTTTTAGTTAGATTTGTTGTCCTTAAGTAAATTGCTGTAGCGAAGGCAATTTGCGAAGCGTCTGAGAAAGCGTGTAATTGGAAGGTTGTATTAGCCGGATCAAACGAGAAATTCCTGCGGGGGATTTTAATAGAGGAAGCATTCCAATTTTTGTTTAATTTTGCCCATTCTTTTACAGCTTCGTGTGGCAATTCGGTGTCCCATCCGAGTGAGGGAGTAATATTCCAAAGTGATTGCATGAATATTTTTGTCGGTAACAGTAAGGGGCCCGTGAGTCCAAGAGGGTCAAAATGTGAAGCAAAAAATGCAAGGACTTTCCTTTTTGTTAGAGGTTGCTCAGGAAGGGGATTTAAGGCCAGAGAGATTTCATCTAGGTCTGTTTCCCATGGTATGCCTAGGAATTTTTGTTTGGAGCCTGTCAATCTGTAAGAGTCGGGTAAATGGTTAATGGCGTTACTTTCATTGCTGGAAAATTCTCGCAGGGGCATAGAAGCCGCATCGAATATTTCAATCGCTTTTAAACATTTTTCCTGTGCTTGGCTTGTTTCTTTTGCAGAGAATAGTATATTGTCGACATATATGTTTTGGCCTATTTCTTTCGAGAGTGCGGATGGATTTTGGTGGAGGTGATGGGTTATTGTTGCCGCTAGGAGGTAGGGACTGCAGGTTAAACCAAAAGAAACACGGCAAAAGCGATAGCATTGTATATTTTGTGAAGAGAATGGCTTGTTTATGTCTAAAACCCAAAGAAATCGCGTTGCGTCACGATGAGTGGGAGAGACTTCTATTTCAAGAAAGCTTTGGCAATGTCGCAGACAACCACGATTTTTGGCAATCTAAAGCGCAGTAGGACTCCAATTAATTCATTCATCAAAAGAGGGCCAGGGTAGAGCGTGTCATTTAAAGAGGGAGAGTTTTTTGATTCGCGCGCAGAGCCGTCATAAACAATACGCATTTTATTTTTATCTAGCCGAATTACGGGTTGGTGGGGTAAGTAATGCAAGGGAGGCGAAAATTCTTTAATATTTTTTACAGGCTCAATTATTCCTAAATCCAGCTGTTCCTTAATAATTGCATTGTATTTGGCCAAATTTTCTGGGTTCTTGTTAAGTGTATTAAGAGTCGATCGGAGGCGTCCCCAAGCTAAACCGAAATTTGAAGGAAGCGAAATTTGGTTGGGTTCGCTTTTAAAAGGCAAAGCTACCTGATATCGCTTGTTTACCATTTTTATTGCTTTTAGGAAAGCCTGATGTACTGTGTCGTCATTAATTTCTGTAACGGGGTTTGGGGTTGTTATTCCTATGTTTTCTAACGAGAATAGGTCGTTTATTTGACGGTCGCAATTTTTGTCAGTAATTTCTTCGCAAATTTGAGTAAAATATGAGTGTGTTCTGTAAATTGTGTTACTAAATCGGCTGGGGGAATTTATTTCTGATTTTCCCGCAATTAAGGGGCCAAGGAGCGTGTGCACTAATCTGTAGCCGTTAGGGAGTTTAGCAACGGGAGTTGGCTCTATATCGTAATAAACATCACTTCCTAGCAGAACTATCGGTGACTTCCATTGAATAAGTAATTCTGCAGGTATGGAATCGGGGGATAATTGATGAGGACTTATGTTCGCTACAGGCAAAGGATGAGTGAGAAAGTTTAGCGTGGTTGTTGAAACGGTGAGCGTACGACCGTTGACTAATTGAATGCCAATTTTTGTGGCAAAAGCAGGAGATTGAGCGCATTTTTGCTGGTTAAAAACGCCTATTTGTATATTTATCGGTTCAAGTGGTAATTTTAGCGCTTCCGCTGCTGCGGACAGAATATAGGAGTTCGTGCTACCATCGTCTAATAAACACGGGACTATTATTTGCTTTGACGGATCACTCGGGTTAAAAATCCTTCCTAAAACACATTTTAGCAAAACGGGATATGCAACAGAGGCTAGTGTGCTAATTGAATTTGTAGCCGTTTTTTGCAGAGTATGGGCGGAAAATTCGGCTGCATTTCTACTTTCTATGTTTGCATTTTGCGGGAGGATTGAAAAATTTTTATTTTGTTGGTTTGGGGGTATTGCTGTGCTTGTAGATGGTATTAGAGACCGAGGACTGGATCGGTTAATGTATTGCTCATTAGCATTAATTTGCTGATTATTTTCATAAACTCGAGTTTGTTTTTGCTGGGGGGCATTATTTATGTAAAAATTGCGGGAAGTGTAATTTGCTGCAGGGATTTGATTTTTTCGCGTGTTTGTATTTGGATTATTTTTGGCAAGAATTTGACCGCAAAGAGGTCGTGGATGCGTTTTGTGGCAGTTTTTGCATTGCGAAGGATTTGGACAATTTCTATAATTATGGTTAGACTTCAAGCATCGGGAACACAATTTCAGCTCATTAAGTCGGGAAATGCGGGAATTATAATCCTGGAATTTTTCGCAATATGTTGTAATGTGCCTGGGGTCATTACAAAAAAGGCACGGATGTCTAAAACCGGGATTTTTACTGATCTGTTGATTAGCTACTGCCGAAAAATTTAAAGGCGGAGATGGCTGCAAATTTCTGGCTGGGTGCTGCCTGTTAAAAGGTAATGAAAATCTATTACTTACTGGCGTTTCCATTCGATTGGGAGGCGATTGTTGGACATTTGGCCTTAAAGTAGTCGGCCGCGAAGGGTGTATTGAATTAATTTCTTCTCTTCTTTTACGAATGTTTTTTAAACATTCCTTCAAATCTTCGGTGGTCCAATGCCCGGCAAGTTGTTCCTTTGTTTTAAAAATTTCTTCCAATATAAAATTTGGTAGTTTTGCTTCAATGTCCATAAATATTGATGGAACATTAGGGTCGGCATTATGTTGTTTGAATTGAATAAGCAAAGATTCCAGACTATCAGTAAGCACAGCAAAATCCTGGTTAAAAAATTCCCCTTTTCTCACATAGGGAAGGGCTTTAATCGCCTGGTAAAGGCTTCGAACAATCTCCTCTTTATTATTAAATTTACTCTCTAGCAGGTGGACCGCTTGGCCGTAGGAATCGTCGGTAAGTGGCAATGATTCGATTAAGCAAAGAGCAGTACCGCTCAGGCAGGATTTTAAGTACGAGAGTTTTACAGCGTCGGACAGGGAAGAGATATTCCCTATAGCGGCGGTAAATTGGTTCCAAAAAGAAAGAAAATCGGCAGATTTGCCGCTAAAAAGAGGAAGATTCATTCTAGGTATATGAGCATGCGATGACGATTGAGAGGAAGAAGAGGGTAGTGCTCCCTCTAGTAAACGCTGTGAGGAACGTAGTTTTCGTTTGTATTGCTTCAATTTATTGAGGGTTTCGATATAGGGATGTTGCGCGTAAAACTGGTCATAAATTGAATTATCGGCCAAACGTTCGGGGCCTGTCATGTTGCTGCGGAGGGACATCCAATTAGTGTGTGCGTGGGAAAGGTCATCAGCTATTTCGCACAAATTCTGGAATTCAAGATTTAGGTCTGCTAGGGAAGCTTGAATGGCATCATTAAATTGGGCATTTGATTGAGTGGGTCCTTTCAAGGGTACATTGAATGATTTGGGAGCTGCAAGGAATGTGTCTGCGTCCTCAAGCAAGGTAATAATTTCGGTGCGGTACCCAGCAGACATTTTTAATTTTCACACTATAAAATTTTTATATTTTTTTTTTTTTGAATTGGTGCAAGAGGTTTGTTTAACTTCACCGGCTGAGCTGTCGCGGAAAAGGGCAAGTCCGCGAATAGTAAAAAATTAAGCCTAGTAAAAACTCAAAAAAAAAAAGAAGGGCCTAGTAAAACTCACACAATTTTTCAAGCAAAAACAAATTGAAATTTTATTTAAAGCAATTAAAATTTTCCAACAAAAATGTGTTTAATCCAAAGCAGTAAAAAAATCAGTTTTTAGCAAAAAGGTTGAAAAGCAAAAATTTTTGTAAAGTCCAGAGCAAAAATGTAGAATATTTTTTTTAGAATGAAGAAAAACAGAAAGGATAGAGCAGATATAAAAAAAAGGGTTGGACAACAAAAAATAAAAAAGGCACAAAGAACGACCAATCAAACAAAAGCGGTTAAAAAATACATTTTAATTTAAGTAAATGCAGGTGTCGATGGAAAAAACAGGGGAAATTAAAAAAATAAATTAAAAGGAATTTTTTAGGAAAACATTCGTGAAACGACAAAGTTCCGGAAATCTAAGCTGACGGATGGCTGTTTCCAATTCGCTCCGGTGAACACAACAATACTCGGAAGGCCGTTTACTGGTTTTCTGGACCCCGTTACTTTAGTCCTCAGCGATACTAGCCCAAAGGGACCGTGTGAGAAATTCCAAATTCACTATTTTAGAATCCCGCTCCAAGAAGGAGAAGGAGGGTGGAAGGTGTTTAGCGTAGATCAAACTACTGGGGAAGCCCCAACCAATGTCCCATGAATAATTGAGTGGAAGTCAGAAGGAGGAATGAAATTACCTGTCCTTCAAGCGACAGTATTCCACCAGGTCCTCAATTCCCCACTGAGCAATTTTATTCAAGCAGACCACGGGGAAGAGACAAACAGAAGGCTCTTGGAAAAAGAGAGTAAAGTTGAGGAGAAATTGAAAGAAAATGATAAAGACCAAATTGGGTTCCCCAACTTTGGCCTAGGCGAAATGGAGAAGAAATTTAAAGAATCCATGAGTAGATGTTTTGAAATCTGGCAAATCATCTGTAACTTATTTGTATCAATTCAGATCATGGGACTGGCTGCTGCTTTTTTGATCACAAAGATTCGGCAGGATATCTGGCTATGGCAACTGGGGACGAAAGCAACGCAAAGAAGCAAGCGGTCAATAGGAGAGAAGGAAGACGCAGAATAGCCAAGCCCCCCAAAAAGAAGACGCCTTAACCGCGGGTGTGGGGAGTGTAAAAAATAACAAAATTTTGATGAAATTTAATTATTTTTTATTTAATTTTTATTTTTATTTATTCATTTTATTTTCCCAAGCTTTACACCTTATCGCTCCTTCCAATCGCTTCCGCTCACTATTTTCTATGTTCCCGCTCTTTATCGCCTTTCTGTTTTTTCTCGCTTGGCTTTTATATAAAGAAAAGCCAAAACCACCATTATTATTCACTTCTCTTTTTTGTACGGTTTAAAAATATTTTTTAATAAAAATTAATTCTTTGGAAAATAAATTTATTTAAAAATAAATTAAGCTTTTTAAATTAAATTGGAAAATTTTGCCGACAATACTGATCTTCTGGTATTGTCGTAGCTTGTAAGAAGTCCTATTCTTTACAACATAGAGATTTGCGATTATTTATGAATTAGAAGAAATTACAGGCGTATAATGTTTAGTACTAACAGAAAATTTGGTAATACATAGAGATTTGCGATTATTTATGAATTAGAAGAAATTACAGGCGTATAATATTTAGTACTAACAGAAAATTTGGTAATACATAGAGATTTGCGATTTATGAATTAGAAGAAATTACAGGCGTATAATGTTTAGTACTAACAGAAAATTTGGTAAAACATAGAGATTTGCGATTATGTATGAATTAGAAGAAATTACAGGCGTATAATGTTTAGTACTAACAGAAAATTTGGTAATACATAGAGATTTGCGATTATGTATGAATTAGAAGAAATTACAGGCGTATAATGTTTAGTACTAACAGAAAATTTGGGATTTGCGATTATGTAGGAATTAGAAGAAATTACAGGCGTATAATAATAATAATTAGAAGAAATTACAGGCGTATTATAGCGTATGAATGTAAACTAACCGAAGATTTTCTAAATTTAAAGTGTCTTATAATCGTATTATTCTATTTTATCTCTAGCGTATGAATGTAAACTAAACGAAGATTTTCTAAATTTAAAGTGTCTTATAATCGTATTATTTTATTTTTGCTTTAGCGTATGAATGTAAACTAACCGAAGATTTTCTAAATTTAAAGTGTCTTATAATCGTATTATTTTATTTTTGCTCTAGCGTATGAATGTAAACTAACCGAAGATTTTCTAAATTTAAAGTGTCTTATAATCGTATTATTCTATTTTATCTCTAGCGTATGAATGTAAACTAAACGAAGATTTTCTAAATTTAAAGTGTCTTATAATCGTATTATTTTATTTTATCTCTAGCGTATGAATGTAAACTAACCGAAGACTTTCTAAATTTAAAGTGTCTTATAATCGTATTATTTTATTTTTGCTCTAGCGTATGAATGTAAACTAACCGAAGATTTTCTAAATTTAAAGTGTCTTATAATCGTATTATTCTATTTTATCTCTAGCGTATGAATGTAAACTAACCGAAGATTTTCTAAATTTAAAGTGTCTTATAATCGTATTATTCTATTTTATCTCAAGCGTATGAATGTAAACTAACCGAAGATTTTCTAAATTTAAAGTGTATTATTCTATTTTATCTCTAGCGTATTATTCTATTTTATCTCTAGCGTATGAATGTAAACTAAACGAAGATTTTCTAAATTTAAAGTGTCTTATAATCGTATTATTCTATTTTATCTCTAGCGTATGAATGTAAACTAACCGAAGATTTTCTAAATTTAAAGTGTTTTATAATCGTATTATTCTATTTTATCTCTAGCGTATGAAAGTAAACTAAACGAAGATTTTCTAAATTTAAAGTGTCTTATAATCGTATTATTCTATTTTATCTCTAGCGTATGAATGTAAACTAAACGAAGATTTTCTAAATTTAAAGTGTCTTATAATCGTATTATTCTATTTTATCTCTAGCGTATGAATGTAAACTAAACGAAGATTTTCTAAATTTAAAGTGTCTTATAATCGTATTATTCTATTTTATCTCTAGCGTATGAATGTAAACTAAACGAAGATTTTCTAAATTTAAAGTGTCTTATAATCGTATTATTTTATTTTTGCTCTAGCGTATAAATGTAAACTAACCGAAGATTTTCTAAATTTAAAGTGTCTTATAATCGTATTATTCTATTTTATCTCTAGCGTATGAATGTAAACTAAACGAAGATTTTCTAAATTTAAAGTGTCTTATAATCGTATTATTCTATTTTATCTCTAGCGTATGAATGTAAACTAACCGAAGATTTTCTAAATTTAAAGTGTCTTATAATCGTATTATTCTACAGGGTGCGCCATAAGTAATTGCACACTTGTTTTCTCTCATAACTTTATTAAAACACAATCAAATAAAATCGAAATACACTCAAATGATAGAGAATTAAATAAGGAACAAAAATAATCAAGAAAATTCGAGATGCCCACTTTTGGCTTTGATACAGAGGCGAAGGCGCGAAGAAAAATTTTCGCAAATAGCACGCACCTCCTTGAGTGTAATTAAGTCCCACTCTCGGGTGAGAGAGTGTCGCAGAGACTCCAAACTTTTGTGCGGCTTAGCACAGGGTCTGGACTCCAAAATAGACCAAAAAGAATAATCAATCGGATTAAAATCCGGGGAGTACGGTGGCAATTCCTGAGCGCTAATGAACCCATGGAAATTGGCCTTGCACCAGTCATGAACTTCTTTCGCTTTGTGTACCGGAGCAGTGTCCTGTTGGAAAATCCAGACTCTGTGACCGAAATGGCTCTTGAACCGAGGCTTCAGAACACGCTGAAAAAATTGTCGCAAGTAATAGTCTTTGTTGACTTTTACACCAAAATCCACGAAAATAAGGGTTTTTGACTGACGCGCTAATACCGGCCCAAACCATGACAGATTGGAGATGTTGGGAATAATTGATAAGCTCATCGGAAAGAGGAGATTCTGTAGTCCAGATTCTATAATTTTGATGGTTGTGTACGATTTTTATTGTAAAAATTTTTTCGTCTGAGAAGGGAATGTCCGGACATGCGTGCCACTGAAGGAGCAGTTTGCATCTTTCAAGCCTAATTTTTTTGGTTTTTTCTGTTAGCAGTTGTGCTTTTTGGATTTTGTAGGGTTTTAACCCAAGTTCATTTTTGGCTATTCGTCTGACGGTCATCTCACTTATTCCGGTTTCACGAGCCAATTTTCTTACGGAGGGTCGATAATTGAGTTGCACCCACATTTTGATCATTTTAATATTCTTGGAAGTGCTGACGGAACGCGGTCTTGCACTTTTTTGTAAGTTCTTAGTTGTGCCATCATTACTAAATTAATTTCAAAAAAATTTTCTCCCAAAAAATTTTCACCAGAATTTTTTGAAAGTGTATTGTACAGTGCTTTTTGGGACATTCAAAAGAGATGAACTTTTGCGGACTGAATTTTTTTGTAAAAAAAGTGAGATTATAGAATCACGTTGACTAGCCATAATAGAGAATTGAATGAGCTAAAAAATAAGCATAAAATTGTTTAAAAATATTGACAACAAAAAAAGTTATAAGGAATTTAAAAGTGTGCAATTACTTTTGGCGCACCCTGTATTTTATCTCTAGCGTATGTTGTAAACTAAACGAAGATTTTCTAAATTTAAAGTGTCTTATAATCGTATTATTCTATTTTATCTCTAGCGTATGAATGTAAACTAAACGAAGATTTTCTAAATTTAAAGTGTCTTATAATCGTATTATTTTATTTTATCTCTAGCGTATGAATGTAAACTAACCGAAGATTTTCTAAATTTAAAGTGTCTTATAATCGTATTATTCTATTTTATCTCTAGCGTATGAATGTAAACTAACCGAAGATTTTCTAAATTTAAAGTGTCTTATAATCGTATTATTCTATTTTATCTCTAGCGTATGAATGTAAACTAAACGAAGATTTTCTAAATTTAAAGTGTCTTATAATTGTATTATTCTATTTTATCTCTAGCGTATTAGAAATAACTAAACTAACCGAAGATTTTATCTCTAGCGTATGAATGTAAACTAAACGTATTATTCTATTTTATCTCTAGCGTATGAATGTAAACTAACGAAGATTTTCTAAATTTAAAGTGTCTTATAATCGTATTATTTTATTTTTGCTCTAGCGTATGAATGTAAACTAACCGAAGATTTTCTAAATTTAAAGTGTCTTATAATCGTATTATTCTATTTTATCTCTAGCGAATGAATGTAAACTAAACGAAGATTTTCTAAATTTAAAGTGTATTATAATCGTATTATTTTATTTTATCTCTAGCGTATGAATGTAAACTAACCGAAGATTTTCTAAATTTAAAGTGTCTTATAATCGTATTATTCTATTTTATCTTTAGCGTATGAATGTAAACTAACCGAAGATTTTCTAAATTTAAAGTGTCTTATAATAGTATTTTTCTATTTTATCTCTAGCGTATGAATGTAAACTAACCGAAGATTTTCTAAATTTAAAGTGTCTTATAATCGTATTATTTTATTTTATCTCTAGCGTATGAATGTAAACTAAACGAAGATTTTCTAAATTTAAAGTGTCTTATAATCGTATTATTTTATTTTATCTCTAGCGTATGAATGTAAACTAAACGAAGATTTTCTAAATTTAAAGTGTCTTATAATCGTATTATTTTATTTTTGCTCTAGCGTATGAATGTAAACTAACCGAAGATTTTCTAAATTTAAAGTGTCTTATAATCGTATTATTCTACTTTATCTCTAGCGTATGAATGTAAACTAAACGAAGATTTTCTAAATTTAAAGTGTCTTATAATCGTATTATTTTATTTTATCTCTAGCGTATGAATGTAAACTAACCGAAGATTTTCTAAATTTAAAGTGTCTTATAATCGTATTATTCTATTTTATCTCTAGCGTATGAATGTAAACTAACCGAAGATTTTCTAAATTTAAAGTGTCTTATAATCGTATTATTTTATTTTATCTCTAGCGTATGAATGTAAACTAACCGAAGATTTTCTAAATTTAAAGTGTCTTATAATCGTATTATTCTATTTTATCTCTAGCGTATGAATGTAAACTAAACGAAGATTTTCTAAATTTAAAGTGTCTTATAATCGTATTA